TATTATTATTATTATGGTTAGTACTCTCGAAGAGAATCAACAAAAGGTTACTTTGTAGTTAATGGAGGAAGTGAAAGTCATAAAACCCCCATGCTTACCCTCCTCCCCCTTAGTAGTATGACAGAATCCAGAAGAGAGTAAGAATTGGTTTTATCAGTGCTTTTTTTGTTTTTTTTAAAAAAAAGGTGCCGGAACTCATACACGTCATACAACCCGCCTTGCCTACCCTACAAGGTTCCATCCAAAAAAGGTGCCAGAACTCCGTTCTGGGCGTTCTATGACAAAAAAAACCTTGGATTTTATATCAGAGTAGATAGATAGAAATGAAATATAATTGGATTCTGACACTGGATCTCTTTGCCCTGGAAACCAACCTCGAAGGAAGGAGGAGAACCAGCACAACACCCCCAACTTCTGAAGCTGCTCTGGAAGCATATTGTGATTGATGCTATCAAAAGCTGCTGAGAAATTTAAAAAAAAGAAAAAGAATGATCAGCAACCCACCCCTCTCCCACCAGAGGTCATCCAAGAGTGCTATCAATGCCATCTCAGTTCTATACCCAGACCTCTGAACCCTGTCTGAAAAGGGTCCAGATTATCTACTTCTTCCAGAGTCGTTTGAAGTTGTAATGCAATAACCTTCTCTATAAATTTCCCTAGAAAATTGTCCACAGTGGTGAGGTATAGCAATATTGTCTTGAAAAGCGTTTAAACAGAAAACCATCTGTGTAAATTATAAACATCTATTACTTCACCCTTTGCCAAATTCTGGACCTGAGAGCCGTGAGCAATAAAGGGGAAGCATTCTTAGGCTAGTACAGTTTCTAACTGTTGCTTTACATAAAGTAATAAGCAAAGTGCATTTATTCCTAGACACTTTCACAGAAATCCACAGACAGATTTCACTGTACCAGCTTCCTCTTCCATGCCCTTTGACACCAGTCCATTTTTACCACCCACATGCACCAGTAAAACAAAATTCCAAATAGCTATTTTCAGCTGCTCGACTCATTCATCCACCCTTCTAATGTGTTTTGCAGTGCAGAACTAAAGCTAGAAAATCCTTTTCTTTTTCCACGTGTGGATGTTGCATTAATTTTCATGGGACTTGCCTTCAGGCAGCAAATGAAAGGGAATGTAAGGTCATATAAGGGAAAGCAGCCTGCAGATGCTGCAGGGTGTATCCTGAAGACAGAGAAAAGGAAAAAGCAAAGCCATGTGATTTTATGGGCAGGGATCACACAGGTTTAATATTCACATGTTCTGGAAAACAAGCCTTTAGTAATTTTCAAGTATGAAGCACAATATATCATATATGATATAATTTTCTGTTTTTTACCCCAGATCCCTTTAATAAGAATAGCACATAGCTTAGATAAGCACAGAGGTGCCAGAACACTCACCATCATTCATTCTTTCCTTGTTTGGCCCTTCCTGGAGATTTCTTGGAGCATAAAATGCTAAGTAGCTGCTTAAGATAAATGTCTTTAGGAAACGAACAGAAGGCATAGTTAGATCGTCTATTTCTACTGCTTCAAAATGGTTAACAGTATCATGCAACATCCAGACAGGGACATTTGGAATTAGAGTTTTTGACACAAACTTTTTGCGGTCTGAAAAATTATATTTTGAGCTATTCCAGAGCTTTCTAAATTCAAGGTTGATTCTCTTCCTTCACCACTGAGCACATGATCTGAATATCATTTTCTGTTGAGTAGAATTGAATTTGTATATTTGTCTGCTCTAAGAATGAGTCAGCAAGCTAAAAAAATCCCTTACCCTTTTCCAAGGAAACTCCCAGGAATTTTTAGATTTGGCGGTAAGCTAAATCTGTGAAAAAAGAAAGTATCCAATAATAAATCCTACCTTCTGTAACTATTTCTCATTTTCTCTTATACAATTTGATATTAATATCAATGGGAATAGCAAAAGTATAAATCAACTATGAATAAAATTTGAGCCATTTATTTTTCTTTGGCAAGAAGGATAATTGATGAAATGTATTAGTGGCTCCTTTTCTTTCTCAGTTCTGATGTACCGACTTAAAATTACAATAAAATATCTGCATGAGAGATGAAGGTATACTAGAATAACTTACTTTCATGAACAACTTATAGCATAGTTATGGAAACCATTTTCCACCACAGAATTAGGATAGGTAACGGCATATCAATAGTATTCATACACACATTTTAATGATACTCATTTGCTAGTAGATATTTATCATCACATTTTTTAAAAATCCTCTCCAATATTCTAAAACTATGTTGAAAGACATTTTTAATAATTAAAAAAACCCTCCCATTCCTATAATGCTTAAAGCAGTATTTAAAATAATTTTCAGAGATTAAAAAACCTGAACAAATTCTCAAGGCAGGTTTTTTTTAGCATAATATCATGCAGCCAGAAGATACTTCCCCACATAGCACAACACAGTCACTCTGTGGTTCCAATGGGGTTACACCTAATGAAGGAAGCGCCTTTCATACTCTGTTGCAATACCTTGTCTGCAGTTCACAGGACAGTGATTTACTTGACAAGATATCTAGACTGCTGGATATGTACTGTATGGACCCAATGACACTAACTCATTATCCTCTCAGGACTTAATGACTATAGGGGAGAAATGGGTTCTTGGTGGAGAATTAAGTATTTACTCCTCTTTATCTATCACTCTTGATTTAAGATGTTGATAACTTCAGCTCATTCTCTTCTTCTTTTGATCCAAGCACACATGGGTCTATGACTTTTGTCCTGGTAAAAATAATTAGCTTGGTGCTAAGCTGTGTACTGTATTTCCTGGAAAAAGATCTCATTTTTTATTATAATTACTAAACCTACTTCACCACACATTTGTCAGGTCAGGTCATGCATATACAGAATGCATCAATTTCCAAAACTGTTACATAGAATGCAGCTTCAGTAAGGTCTTCTTATTCACTTAAAGTCATATTTAAACTGGATTTTAATTACCTTAGCTATTTGAATACAAGGAATGCAAAGGTATTAAAAATGTGCTATTCCTACCTACCTGTTACCTATGCCTTCCTGTTTCTGCTGATATCCGTGTTGCTGTTTCTAGTTATTTCTTTTCATATTCCCAGAGGCGTATGATTTGAACTACAGAATAGTATTCTTAATAGAATAGAATTAAATATTCCTTATTTGACTCTATTTTTCCATAGAGTGGTTGTTTGCATTAATGTAAGAACATTTAAGAATTCCATGAAAGCCAAGAAGAAGAAAGCAAAAGCAGCAGGTCAGCAGGTCATAATTGTATATATTTTGTCTCCACAGGGTCACCCAGGTCAGGCAGGATCAAGAGGAAAACCAGGCCACGATGGTTGCAATGGGACCAAGGGAGATCCAGGTCCACAGGGAATTCAGGGACCTGCAGGAACTCCCGGGTTTTTTGTAAGTTATGAACACTGAATATGTCAATGTAAAGCTACTGCTGCTTAACAGCAAAATCAAGAGGAGTTTGTTCCCTTCCACTAAGTGAGAGAAAAGGGTTTCCATTGCTGGAAGAAGCCTAGCATTCTTGCTAATCTGCCACATTAGGATTATAGGCTGAAGTCCTACAAAAGCTGCATTGCCTAAAGCTGAAACATAATTACCGTTTCAGAAGGAAATTCCAGGTTGACTAGTAGTCATTTTGGAAAACTTTGGAGTTCAGTTATCCTATGTGCTCATAATATTAGTACATTAGTTGAGGACTATGATTGATTATGATGAAAATTACAGGCAGAGAGAAAGCCATAATAATTTACAGGGTTTTTTTTTAAAAAAAGGGGGGAACTTCCTGCTTTGTTGTTTTGAGACACATTAATAAGGCTGCAAGAATACTTGTTCTTTCTGTGCTGAAAGGACTTGCTCAATTTCACAGGGATATATACAGCGGCGGATTTCCGCACAGGCGCAGGAGGCGCGTGCCTGGGGCCTCCACATTTCAGGGGCCTCCACGGCGGTGATCAGATCAGGCGCCCGCCTGGCAGAAGCCGCGAGGGTAAGCAGGGAGAGGTCGAGGGAGCCCTGCACACTCTGTACTTAGTCAGTCATGAAGAGAAGATTTGAGAGTACGGCTCGGCTTTATTTTGTGGCGGGCAAAGAGCGTGTGTGCGCTCGTGGCCCGAGGGAAGCCTGTTGAACGCCGGGCGGCTTTCCCTAAGGATGCTGCGGAGGAGGAGGAGGAGGAGGAGGGGGGGAACACTCCCTCCCCCCCCAACGTCGCGGGGGTTTCAGGTTGTTTCTCGTAGGCGCAGTTGCCCTTTAGAGGGCTCGAAACTTTTCCGTCAGCGCGGGCGCGGCGAGTTGAAGTTTTTTGGGGGGGGTCGTCTCCCCCCCCTCCCCCCCCGGAGAGTGTAACTCGCTCCCAATTCACTTCGGTCTCAGCGGAGTCAGTCCCGCACTTCTTTTTGCCTCGCTTCTCCTGCCGCTTGTTGGCGTTATATAGCCCCTCTTCTGATAGCGGCGTCTTGCCCCTCCGTTAAAAAGGGATAAAGTTGGCGCCGTCCTTTTTATTTTTTTTTTATTTTTTATTTTTTTTGCTTTCCGGGAAAAAAAGGAAAGCGCGCTCGGGCAGGGAAAGCGAGGTGCCTGCCTCAAACCCCTTTGGGTGGTTTTTGCTTTAATCTGCCAGTCTCTCCGTCTCTCCAGTTCTTTTGTGCGACTCTTAACAGAGTCTCGTCAAGTAGTGGACTGCTGGGCCAGGTTCGTCTAAGTCAGAGGTAGTCAACCTTGACTCTTTTATGACTCGTGGACTTCAACTCCCAGAATTCCTGAGCCCAGCTAAGCTGGCTCAGGAATTCTGGGAATTGAAGTCCACGAGTCATAAAAGAGCCAAGGTTGACTACCCCTGGTTCTAAGTCGAGCCGTTTCTCGACTGCGGTTGTGGGCTTCTGCCTTCACGAGCGAGCCTTTTTGCGCTAAGAGAAATTTACTCCTGAGTAAATGAATGCCTTGCGACCGGAAGGTCTTGGTGTAAAGTCGCTTTTAGTCCGATCCCTCAACTTCGGTCAGCTTCGGCGCGGCGCTTCTCCGTCTGGCATTAATTGGAGGGCTGAATCTGTTTTTCGGTTGTAGACCCGGCGGCAGCGGTTTCTGCTGCTTTGCTTTGCTTTTGACGTTTAGACTAAAAAGGTGGCCGGTAGTTATCTGAGGTAGTAATCAGCGGGTTCCTGTGTTTGCAGGCGGCGGTCCAAAAACCAGTGTCAGCAAGTGTCAATCAGGTGGATGTTTTGGTGCGACGGGTAGTAGAAATACAGTACAACCGATTGAGCGGAAAGCATTACTTGAGTAACACGTTATTGTCTATTCTGTATCCGTGGTCTGCGCAGGGGAGAAGATTTCAGAAAGGGAGAGGTTTCAAGACAGAAAGCTCTTTATTTTTAGGTACTATTTTGGATTATACATGTATTTTTTTAAACAAAAAAAAAAGTTGGAACAACTGGTGTTCACTTTTAAGCTGCAATCTTATGCCTAATTTCTTCAGAGGAAACATCAAGAGATTCTGTATCCTACTAATACCTACAATTCGATTTGCAACTCCTAGATAATGGACTGCTGGAATTCATTTTTCTCTTTTGAAGGTGGGGGGGAACGATCCATATTTATTATTACATAAATTTGTATGCCACCCTATCCCAAAACGTTTGGCAGTTTACAGCAACCAAACAAATAGGACATTACAGCAACCCAAGTAAACTTAATTCCTAAGTGTCCAGTTAAACATAACTATTTTAATCACTTTGTTAGCATTTTTAAAAAATCCCAAGAAATATTATGTTGCATACATAGATATGCATATGTAGATATAAACTTCTAAATGTTTTCAGTATTAT